GGAAAAGGACTTGAATAGGCACTTCTCCAAAGAGGACATACAGAATATCCAGAGACACATGAAGAGATGCTCAATATCGTTAGCTATCAGAGAGATGCAAATTAAAACCACATTGAGATACCACTTTACACCAGTCAGGATGGCTGTCGTAAACAACAAATATTGGAGAGGTTGTGGGGAAAAGGGGTCCTTAGTTCACTGTTGGTGGGATTGCAGACTGGTACAACCATTATGGAAAACAGTATGGAATTTTCTCAGAAAAATAAAAATCGACCTGCCTTTTGACCCAGCAATTCCACTGCTAGGATTATATTCCAAGAATCCTAAAACATCAATTTCAAAGAACCTATGCACCACAATGTTCATAGCAGCACAATTTACAATAGCCAAGAGTTGGAAGCAACCTAGGTACCCGTCAGTAAATGAATGGATCAAAAAATTGTGGTACATATACACAATGGAATTCTATGCAGCAGAGAGAAAGAAGGAACTACTACCCTTTGCAACAACATAGATGGAACTGGAAAGCATTATGCTGAGTGAAATAGGCCAGGCATTGAAAGACAAATACCATATAATCTCACCTTTAAGGAGGAAGCTAAACAACAAAACAAATAAGCAAACAGAATAAAAACAAAGACACTGAAATAGAGAACAAGTGGGCAGCGACCAGAGGGGAGAAGGAAGGGAATTTAAGGGGAAAAATGGGGAGGGATTTTGAGGAACAAGTATGAAAGACACAGGAATGAGGACTTGGGGGTGGGGGAGGAAATGGGAGGGAGGTGGGGAGATGGGGCGGGGGGCGGGGGGCACTGGGATGGGAGAAATAGACAAAAAACTGTACTTGAAAAATAACTAAATAAAATTTTTAAAAAATATAAAAATTAAAAAATAAAAAAAACTTACTTGTGATGGTATTTCCCTGCCTGGAGCAGTCCTCTGAATTCTTTTAGGCACTTAGAGTCAAAGGTTTTTCCTTAGTCTTTCTTCTCTTAAACATAACTAGTTTAAAATAATAGCCCAAAAAGTATATTTCGGGTGGCAAACTCCGCTTCCCCTCTCAGACCGCTGACTTCTCACTGTATCCTCGCATGTGAAGAGAGAGCTAGAGGGCTCTCGGGAGTCCTTTTGGAAGGACACTAATCCCGGTGATGGTAACGAGGGCTCCATCCTCCCAAAGGCCCCACCTGGCTGATGCATAGGTGTCAGGGCTTCAACTACTCAGTTGCAATGAACACAGCCAGTGTTGGTGTATTGTGATTGTTTATACCTGCAACTAAAACAGTAAACATCTGAAATTCACCTAGACCATTCCTAGATTTGGAAATGCCAAGACCACTTTAAAGCCATAGCTGTCCTCCCTAATTTAAACACCTATACATCAAAATAAAATGTGCACATGAATAACATAAAGGTAATTAGGAAAAAGGTTACACCTCACTATGTCCTAATAGAGACCGAAAAATCTAACTCAGGATTTGCCAAACAGCGGGCCTCTGAGCCAAATCTTTCCAGCTGTCTCAGTAAAATGTTGAAACATAGCTCTATGCCCATTTATTTACATAGTGTCTCTGGTCCTTTTTCACCATGGAAAAACCCAAAGAACTTACTCTATCTGGTCTTTCACATACACAACCCTTGTTAACCCTGCTACAGACAAAGGGAAAGTTTACGGTCTTGAGGTCAGGGCCACGCGAAATATGGTCTATAGACCATTACTGTCCTGCAAACTACCACTGAAGCTGAGAATGCTTGAAAGTAATCTTTTATAGCATTTGACATTGTCAAGGCATCCAAATGTGACTGTTTTTCTAGTAATTTACTATATTTTTAAAGTACTAATTCATGAAAAATTAGAAAAGATCTAGAATTTGTAATTTTTCCATGAGAAAAATATCATTTAATATCCATGATTTTTAACTAGGTCTTAAAAGATAACAAAATTCAGCCCTAGAGGTTTCATCCACAACATAGATTTTTGCCTTGAAAAATGAAATGAAACTAAAAAGAGGCAGGGCCAAGGAAGTTTTGAAAATTATTTGTCCCACACTCTGGGTTCCCGGTGAAGCTCCAATTCCACTGATGTAGTGAGATCCCAGTATCAGAGATAAATTGTTTCTAACTAATGTATAATTACATACAGAGGACTACCTATACACACATAGGTATTCATGAAATACTAGAAGTTTACATTCTAAGAACTAAGTTGATTACAAATATACAAGACACTGGACTATTACAGAGTTGATATGTGAATTCATGTATTTATAAGTGTCACTCTAATATATCCACCTCCCTTGAGTTAAGTGCCTCTCAGTCTGAGTACTGTATATGGTGTATTGGGACACTGCTCTGAGCTACCCATTCAAGGCAATGAAATTTAATTAGTAAGTTAGGTACCATAAGACATTAACAACTAATAATAAAACAGAACAATTGTAACAATATACTGTAATAAGTTATATGAATGTGGTCTCTCTGTGATTACTCAGCTGCCTACTAAGTGACCGACCGGCAGGGAGCCAACACAGTACGGATATGCTGAACCAAGCAAGAGATGATCCCCACTCCAAGTAGGACAGGTGAGAGATTACATCACGTAACTTATAAAGGGGTGCAATGAGGGCAAGGGAAACAAAAGAGGAAATAAACCAATGGGACTACACCAAACTAAAAAGTCCCTGCACAACAAAGAAAATGATTTAAAAAAACGAAAAGACAACCCCCTGAATGGGAGAATGTATTCCCCAATAATACAGCCAATCAGGGGTTAATGTCCAAAATCTATAAAGAGCTCAAACAACTTAATACCAAAAAAGCCAAACAATTTAATTAAAAAATGGGCAGAGGACCTAAACAGACACTTCTCCAAAGAGGACATACAGATAGCCAACAGACAAGTGAAAAGATGCTCAACATCACTAATCAGAGAGATGCAAATCAAACCACAATGAGGTATCACCTTACACCCATCAGAATGACCATCGTATTATAAATCAGCAAGTGCTGCTGAGTGGAGAAAAGGGAACCCTTGTGCAATGTTGATGGGACTGTAAATTGGCCTAGTCACTATGAACAACATGATAGAGGTTCCTTAAAAATTAAAAACAAAACTAACTGCCTTATGACCAGCAATTCCACTTCTGGTTATTCATCTGAAAAAACCCAAAACACTAATGCAAAAAGACATATGAATCCCTACGTTAATGCAGCATTATTTACAATAGCCAAGATGCAAAAGCAACCTAATAGTTCATCATTGGATAAAGATGTGGCCCATATATACAAATGAAATCTTACCATTTGCAACCCCATGGATAGACCTAGAGATTATTATGCTAAGTAAAATAAGTCACACAGAGAAAGACAAATACCATATAATTTCACTTATATGTAGAACCTAAAGGACACAATAAATAACATAGAAACAGACATACACATAGAGAACAAACTGATGGCTGCCAGATGGGAGGGGGATTAGGGAACCACTTGAAAAAGGTAAAGGAATTAAGAAATACAAGTCAGTAGTTACAAAGTAGTCACAGGGATGTAAAGCACAGCACAGGGAATACAGTCAATAATAACTGTAATGACTGCGTGGTGCCAGGTGGGTACTAGAATTATTGGGGGGAACTTTTCATAAATTACATAAATGTCTGTTACCGAACCAAGGTTCAAGGGGGGGGGCAATATTTGGCCCACCCAGGGATGCAAAAAAAACTGCTACAGAACAACAGGGGCCCCTCCCAAGGACGGTATACTAATAGCTACTGGGCTCATCTGTCCGCTGCCAATTGGAAAAAACATCTCTCAATGCCAGAGATTTGTGAAAAGGAAACAAAATGTTTACTTAATGCTATTCGGGCCTAACGCCTCCATTAATATATCAAAGTCCTTTAGGGTATACACCTACACACACAGTGCTCCCTTCTCCCACTGTCCCAACTCCGGGTACCGTAAATCAGGAAAAGAGCACACGTCCGTTTTTCCAGGCCTCTGGTATCCTCAGCTGTGCTGACCGTCCAGGCAGGATCTCGAGTTAATCCAAAGTCATGTGGCACCTTCTCACGGTCCACTGGCAAGAGTTCTTTGTACCCAGTTCCAGTCAAAGTCTCTCCTGCTTCCCAGGCCATGTGGTCAAAGGGAGCACCCCAAGAAGAGGGAGCCTCTTCTACCAAAGCTGCAGGGGTCCCCATTATGCCCAAAAGCATGTGGCTTTCTTCTTCACTTGGCTGCAGGGGTCCCCATTGTGGCAAAGCCTCGTGGTTTTCCCTTTCACCTGGCTGCAGGGATCTGCACTCTTCCAAAACCGCATGGCTCTCTCCTTCACCTTGCCAAGAGGGTACCCTTACTCTGCTGAAACCACGTGGCTCTCTTTCAATGGCTACTGCCTCTGGGTTTAACCACCTCCTCCGCCCCCCCCCACCAGTTCTCCTTTGCAACCCCATTTCCGACTCCTCCCACAATTGGTTACATCTGCCAGTACTCCCATACCCTCCCAGCTTTACTGGGCTGCCATCATTAGTCTGGGCAGGTGTGGCCCAATGGCATGGAGCCAATCAACTCCAAGCTCTCACGCAGCTGCAGTAACTCAGGGGACCAGCCCCCAGTTACATCCTGGGTAGAAGCCACTCCCTTCTCCCCCGGCTCAAAGCATGGCCACAGCTATTTAACATATCTATGAAACCAGTTAAAGGTTATAGAGGTCACTTAATGTTAAGTGACCATTCCAGAGGTTAGCTGCGAAACTGTTGCTATGCAAAACAACTCTCAATGGCCCTGCTCCATTTGTCCGTTCCCCCAACTGACACCTGGAGGGGTGGGGGTGGAGTGAGGACATCTTAATATTTCCTGGACACCCTGAGCTCTGGACCCCATTCCAAATTCTTATTTTGGGGCCCCCCTCCTTGCTGCGCCCTGTTACATAAGCACTGTGCTATATATATACCTGAAAAACAAAATAATGTCAACTGTATACTGAATGAATAAGGTGAGCAAAATTATGACATCAGTTAGTCAAGATTTATTTCAAAGCGTGAAATCATTTAGACCAATCGAAAATGGTACACTACTGCAATTTCTTATGATACATCAGTATTTAAACTAAAATGAAAAAAAAAAAACACTAGGTGGTATTACCTGCTAACGCACACAATATATGATTTTCAAAAGTGATGGCAATTTCACAAAACATAATATCAAAAAACTTTCACACTTACTGAGGACACAACTAGCAGCAATCTATCCAAACAAGCACATTTGTTTTAACCCTTGCTTCACAAAGCCACCGATAACTGAGGCTTCCTCCTTCAAGTTTAGGATTTCTAACATTAAACTACATTTTGTAAGTATTTTCACAGAGAAGAAATGAAGATACATTATTTGCCATGAATCCATACATCAAAAAGTGAAACAATCCCACTGAATGTATCCACGTTTCTCTTTCCCCAACATCAACTTTGTTATCCTAAATACCTTATATTTTGGTTAAAAGCAGTGCTCCATCTGTGCAGATTAGTGAAAAGTTACTTCCATTATCTTTAAAACTGTCTTCTAGTAAATTGCCCTTCGGGACTGTATGGATGGACCTGAAGAACATTATGTTAAATGAAATAAGCCAGTCAGAGAAAGACAAATACCCTACAATTCACTCATGTGTGTTGGGAACCACTCTGCCTGGTTTCAGGAGTTGTAACTGCCCCCCATGGCTAAGGCTGAGCGACCTCCAGAATTTGAGCCACTAAAGAGACAAAGCTTATCTCTGGCAGCAAGCACTGCTTCTACTTCCTCCCCTGCCCCCCAAACACTTGGTTAGTCAATGATGGGTAAGACCCCTCAGAGTGGGGGCAACCTAAGCCAGACATGATCACTTGGGAGGCCATCATGGAAGGACTGGGGGGAGGGTGCAGCAAAGGAGTGATAGACCCTCGTCCCCCAGCTATTCTGACATAGCCTGAGTCCCCATTTCTGTCTGTGAGAAGCGCTTCCTGGCTCTAATTCACTTAAGCCTAAAAACCCATGATGGGGGAGGCGGTGCAGCCCCTTGCTGGCTAGGGTGGGATTTGGGGTGATCAGGCATAAGAAAGAGTTCCTAAAGTCCTGTGAGCCTGCTTTGCTAAGAGTGCTTTCATTCACATGATAAGGGTCTGAGCAGGAAATGAGTATGTCTCCCAAAGTTTTTGCAACCCCCTTACCTGACAGACACTGACTCAGACTAAGCCCTCGGATCTCTTTGAAATGTTATCTACTGTTTGACCCTTACCACCTGTATTCCTATGTATTACAACCCAATAAAAGCCATTGAGGAAGGGGCTCTTCGTTTTTCTCCTCTGAAGGATTGACCACCTCTCCTCCCCAAGCAGATCATGTCTTGGTAGCTTCACTTTCTTCCGTGGTAGATGAGGGGACTTTGCGAGCAAAGGTGCCCCACACATGTGGACTCTAATGAACACACTGAACTAACAAGCAAAACAGAGACATACAGATAAAGAGCAGATGACCAATAGTGTAGGAGGGGAGGTTAGTGAGATAAAGAGTAGATGACGGATAGTGTGGGAGGGGTGGTTAGTGGGCGGAGCGACCGAGCAAACAGGAAGAAGGACTCATGGACATGGACCATAGTGTGGGGACTACAGTGGGGGAGGGGGCTATAAGGGACTAAATGGTAATGGAGAAAAATAAAATTAAAAAAAGGAAACAGAAACGTGGATACATGGAACAGACTGACCAAAAAAACAAAATTACCTTTTATACACCTGTCTCCATCCCCCAACCAAGTCTGGCACCAAAGTGAATAATACAATGTACTGTTTCAGGGGCCCAAAGAACCTGTAATCTTAATTTCCTAAGTATCCAAAGATGTCAACTTCCTGCCAATATAAACAAAAGTCTCCAGTGAGCAAAAACCACGTCGTTTTTAGGAAGAAAAAATGCATAGCATGAGAATTAACTACAACTGTATTATTTATACTTTTCTCCCAAGCTACAAGCACTCTTAGCATTAAATTATATTGTGCATGCACACCTACAACAGTTTGTTTGCTCATGCTAAAAATAAATAACTTTCTATTCCATAGTTTAACGGGCTCTTAAAACGCTTTCCCTGGGGTGGGGGGGAACAAGTATTTTTTGTTCTTTAAGAACCTGGTAGAGAAAAGTGAACTGCTATATGTTCATTTAAGCTTTGCTGAAACCTAAAGATGAAGCTTTCAGGGTTTTTTCATATCATGTAGGGATGGAATGGTAGATAGAGATAGATGCAATCCTTTGTAAGCCACAGGATATTCTGAATGGAAAAAAAATTGACATGGCAATTATCTAAAGGAAAAAAGTCACAAAAAAAGGTGAGCGTTTCCTCTTAAAAACAGAAAAGTGCTATATAACAAAAATAAAACTACAAATTTAAAAAACACTTATTTTGATGTTTTAGAAGACAAACCAAAAGAAAAAATTGATTGGCAGAAGGAGTCTAGACCAATTAGAACTAAGGCAGCTGTAAAAAAATAAAACACACACACAATACAATTTGACCTCATAAAGAAAATGACTCATTAAAATTTTACAAGTCTTCATGTTCGTAGTAATATATTAATGCCCAAAATATCAAAATTACAAAGTATGAATTTCCCCCCTTAGGTTTATAATAAACTATCAAATCTCTGTTTATCACATTTACTTTCATAAGCCGTCTGGTTAGCAGCACATGTTACACAAGCACATACATGCTAGTATTTTACCATGAGAACTAGTATTCGTTTCAGACTAGTGACCTGCCTCTTTACCCACAGCTATATATATATTTCATTTCCCTTATAAGACACTTAAGACCTTTCTAGTGGTAACTTTAATCAACACATTACATAAAAAGAATCTTGATTTTTAAAATGAATCTTTTTAGTACTATAACATGATGGGTTTAATTGAACACTTAGAGCATAACGATAATTACATTGTACTGTTTAAACTAATTCACAGCTGTAGGAAAATGTTTGATTTTTAACCAAGATGAGACTGAAGTTATGAGCAGTAAAACCCTGGAAAACAATGAATGAGTAGGAAGATGACTTGTCCTCAGTGGCCATTCATTATTTTGCTTTTAGGAACCTGGAAAAAATTGTCTTCTTTGAGTTTCAAATGTTCTGGTAAATCTAGCCGTTTCTTAGCTTCCTCAATATCACCATGAATTGCTGAAATAAGTGACTCTGCAGAGAGAACAAACCAGGTAAAGATGATGAAAATTACCCCTACACCTTTTCCTACTTCTTTGTTCAACCTCTCCTAAAAAACGCTTCACAAAGCCGGCGGTGTCTCCAGAGCAGAGCAGTTAGCTGCCCAGTAACTGTTCTATCTGTTCGCACAGATTTAAGTAAAAAGTCCATAGCACACAAAATTATGTCTCTAATCTTATTGCAATTTCTTAGAGAAAGGCATCAGTGAAAAGGTACATTGCAAATACCAAATGGAAGAAACAAATATCCACTATTAATTCTCTTCAGCATTTACACTTACAAACAAAACTACAATTAAATCTATCACACCACACTACGATCCCTGATACAATGTTTTTGATTGTTTCTCACAGCAAGCATTACAAAGCATCCATTATTCATTATATGTAGGGGACCAGTTTGTCTTGGTCTGGCAAATGTGACTCAGCTCTGTATGGAAAACCTACAGAAGCAAGGTGGTGGGCAGGAGCCAGACCTTCAAATCGACTTTTCCTGTGGGAATCAGGCCTAGAAAATGCGTACAGATTGTTATGGCTTGCTTTTGCTAAAACTCCCTCACCCTGGTCTAAAGCAACAAATGTGTATTGTTTATCTTCAAGGTAATTTCCAAAGCCTGTGTGAGCTCTCCCAAGGACAGAGCTAATAATCCCCTCTGCATGTTATTTTTATTTCCTTGATTGTTCCCAGAACAATATTATGTAGACAATAATATTCTATGTGATAGATAATAAATCTTTCTATGATGTAAGACCCAAAGAAAACAATAAAAGCCTGTCTAGGCAAGGCTTGAGGGAGTGGCCAAGGCACCCATAGCACTCTCCCCTTAAGAGAGCAGCCGTACCTGTTCCCTTTTTCCACACAGGATTGTTGTCACCTGTGCACTGATTCTTGTAAGCCACAGCAGGCGGACTCTGCTGGACAGGGTCTGCTACAATTATAGCTTATTAATTCTTACTTGTTCCTTAAAACATGAAAAGGAAATAAAGATTTGAACTGCACGCTGTTGGAGAGGCAGCCAGCCTGCTGCTGGGTTTGAATCTGTGGTCCATCGCTTACTACATGACCCTGGGTAAATCATGTAACCTCTCTGTGCCAATCTCCTCATCTGCAAAATGAGCAGAATAATTCCTCATACGGTTATTGTGGGGATGGAATGAGTTATTCATTTAAGGCACTCAAAGCAATGCCTGGCACACATTTAATTTGCTCAAGAATGATCTGTACTGCTACGGCTGTTACTAGTAGAAGCAGAAGTAGCTACAGTAATACTTAAGATAATCTAAGAACTTACCTAGAGAATCAAAGTTCTTTTCTGGTCTGAGGTAGCCAACAATGGCAACATTGAGGATTTCCCCATAGAAGTCCTCTTTGAAGGTATGTATGATATGAGTTTCCTACAGTCAAGAAATGTTTAAGAGAAAATTACCATCAGACTGCAGAATACCTAAAATTTGAAATACACACATAAATGAGGCAACCCTCATTAAAATCTAAATGCAGTTTTTCCTGAATTCTTCCACTGCTCCTGTCCCTGACCTTACATATAAACATTACTGATTAATGTAGATGTTACACCACAAACCTGGTATGATTGACTGTTTACAGAAAAAACCAACATACAGCAAAGTAAGTCTTAGCAAGGCAGAAAAACTGAGCAAAGACAACAAAAAGGGAATAGTTGAAATATTAAGAGATGTCACCACTAACAGAGCTAGTTCTAAAGTTAATCAGGATCCGAGTGTCCCTGACACACTCCAGTTAGAGAAACTTTTGAGGGTTGGACGAAGCTGAAGGCCGATGTGGGGCAGAACACCCCAAACTGGCTCCTGATCTGGGAGTGATGTGACCGTGGGCAGGTAAAAGACACCTTGGAAAAGTCAGAATTTTAGTAGGCGCCTATGAAGAGGAAACCTGAGTTCAAGAAATCAAACATGAAAATCGGAGTAATTCTTTCTTACCAAGCACAGGAAGTTCACTCTATATACACTTAATGGAATTTATGGACTTTATGAAGCCCATTAAAAAAAGGAACACTGACTTAATTTAAAAGGAAACATGGATAGAATTGTTTCCTTTTAACTTTTTAGGCCTTGGCCAGGTAGCTCAGTTGTTTGGAGCATCGTCCTGATATGCCAAGGTTTCTGGTTCAATCCCCCCGTCAGGGCACATACCAGAATCACTAATGAATGCATAAATAAGTGGAACAACAAATTAATGTTTCTCTTTTCTTTCTCTTTCCCTTTCTTTTTCTCTCTCCCTCTTTGCCCCTTTCCTCTCTCTCTCAAAATAAAAAATTTTAAAAAATAGAACTTTTCTTAAAGCTATTATCAAAGCTTCGGTTTTGTTAGATAATGAAATCATTTATAGAAGACTTGAACTTATGTTCTATGTTCAATTCCAAGTGTTTAGGAGAAGGAAAATACCTTAGTAAGAATAATAAATTAAGAATCAAAAGTCTCAAGTTGCACATTTGGCTAAAGGCATAGCTTAACCTCTCTGGAGCTCAGCTTTGTCTGTAATTGAGGGGTTTGACTTAGAAGACATAAGGTGCCCCACTCCTTTTTATTGGGTTGGCCAAAAAGTTTGGGTTTTTTTTTTTTTTTTCGTAAGATGGCTCTAGTAGCACTAAGTTGCCTTGAACTTCATTGAAAAAAATTTTGTTAGATTGTACTGTGACAGCTGTCACATCAGCCTGCATTAAAATTTATCCAAATTGCTGAATTTTTGTGTAGCTATTTTAATATTAAAGATGAAGAAAACAGCAACACTTTCAGCGTATTATGCTTTATTATTTCAAGAAAGGTAAAAACACAACTGAAATGCAAAAAAAGATTTGTGCAGTTTATAGAGAAGGTGCTGTGACTGATCAAACTTGCCAAAGGTGGTTTGCAAAGTTTCATGCTGGAGATTTCTCACTGGACAATGTTCCATGGTTGGTTAGACAAGTTGAAGTTGATAGAGATCAAATCGAGACATTAATTGAAAACTGTCAATGTTCTACCACATGGGAGATAGCCAACATACTCAAAATATCCAAATCAATAAAGTTATTGGTGAAAATAAAATATGTGCCTTTTGTTTTATGGAAAAAATCATGTAGACTTTCTGATCTACCCAATACTATGAACCAATAAATGTGACTTTCAGTCTTTCTTTTCAGTAAAATTTTGAATAAAAGGAACTAATATGTAAGACCTTGACACTATTACAAAATATAACAGAGGAATGGTAAAAATGTCTACTTTCCCTAAATTGATGTACAGATTCAATGTTATGCCAATCAAAATCTTAGGTTTTTTTTAAATGACAGAAACTGACAAGTGATTCTAAAATTCATATTGAAATGTCAAAGGCCAAAATTATCCAAGAAATCTTGAAAACAAAACTGGAGAATTTATCTGATCAGATATTAAGACCTATTATAGAGCTACAGACATTAAGACAATGTGGCAACAGCCTAAGGATAAACTAGGAGATAGGCCAATTTAATGTATGAGCCTATTTTGGACTCACACTGATAAAGTCACTTGATTTAAGACCAAGTTGACCCTGCAATGCTGTCAGGAAGGATAGTATTTTCAATAAATGGGCTGGGCCCTGACTGGTGTGGCTCAGCGCATTGGACACTGTCCCACAAACCGAAAGGTTGCTGGTCAGGGCACATGCCTGGGTTGTGAGCCAGGTCCCCATTTTGGGGAGTGCAAGAAGCAACTGATCATGTTTCTCTCCCTCTCTCCCTCCCTTTCCTCTAAAGACAAATACATAAAATCTTTTTAAAAAATAAAACAAAATATAATAAAGGGCTGGGCCAATACTCATACAAGAAAAAAATTTGACCCTAACCTCATATCATACTCAAAAATCCGTTTGATTTTTGAGAAAAGCAAGATAATTAAGCCTTGGGGGGGGGGGGATCTACAAATATCTTTATGATTCTGGAAGAAGCAAAGATTTCTTAAAAGCAATACAACATAAAAGATATTTGCAATTTATAAATAGTCCCAACAAAGGAACTGGATCACTGGATCTAGATAGAGTATATTAAGAACTCAAGTCACTGAGATAGTCAATCCAATTTTTTTAAGAAGAAAATGTCTTGGCCCTGACTAGTGTGGTTCAGTGGACTGAGCACTGGCCTGAGAACCAAAGGGTGGCTGGCTCAAGTCCCAGGCAGGGCACCTGCCTGGGTTGCAGGCCAGGTCCCCAGTAGGGGCATGTGAGAGGCAACCACACACTGATGTGTGTGTGATTTTCCTTCTCTTTCTCCCTCCCTTCCCCTCTCTCTACAATAAATAAATAAATAGAGCCTTTAAAAAATAGAAAAAGTTTTGAAGAGGTGCATCATATATGTCTACTATTGGCAAAGAAGAAAAAAGCAAACTTCTGAAATTTATGAACCTCCTCCCAAGGGAAAACTGAGAATCTCCTAACTATGAAAGTACTTTCAAGGCGTTCCTTAACTGGCTTTGTAGTAACAGTTCTGTTACTTGAGTAGCTAATAAAGAAAAATTAGTCAAAGTAGCCTTCCCTCCCTTTGTTTTCTCCCTCATTCTACTAGAAAAACAAATGTTGTGTTCTTTCATCAGTTCTTTTCTTTATTTATGCCAACAAATATTTTTCACATCCCTAACACTCAAACATAAGAAAAATGTTGAGCACAATGTTAAGTAGTTTGGGGCCAATTCTATTGCTTATGCCTGTATTAGCCCTGTGATTTCTCAACTGTGATGTATTTCTCTTCTATAAACTCTTCAAAGAGGATGAAATTTAGATGAACTGTAACTGTTTCTGCCACACACTTGAGCTAATCAAAAGATCTGGCTGCATTTAGCAGATTAAGCACATCAGCTATGTGTGTCCTATGAGAAGAGCAGAAAGTACACCTCAAGGTGGTTTAAAAGAGGGGGGAAATCACCTTGCCATGTTATCAGAAAGCACCATTCACATAATAAGCAGTTCTATGCTAACAGGGAGCAAAGTCATTAAAGGGTGAATGAACTACATAAACTTTGGCAAGCTGAATTTTATGAAACATACTCTTCGAGCACTTTTTATCTCCAGCAAAGGTAAGTATATGGGAAGTTATAAAATTAATATTATTGTAATTTGTTTGCACCTCTACTTTTTGTTTTCTACAAGATTTTAAAAATAAATACATAAAAATTATTAATTTATGTTCTTGGGCACATAGAATATAAAAATGTAATTTCTTTCCTCCCTCTGTGTGTATGTATATCTCCTCAGGTGAGGAGTTGCAAAAAAAAAAGAAGAGTTTGTGTATGCTATCAAAGTTAGACTAAATTCAAATTAGACTTATATAACTTCGGGATGTTAAATGGAATCCCCATAGTAACCACAAAGAATATCTATAGAAAATACCCAAAAGGAAATCAGAAGGGAATCAAAATGTCACTACAAAAAAGTCAACTAAACACAGAAGCAGTAATGGAGAAAATGATGGACAAGAAAGCTATAAGGCATATAAAAAACAAATGGCAAAATAGGATAACTCCCTCATCAGTAGTCAGTTTAAATGTAAATGGGTCAAACTCTCCAATCAAAAGGCAGAATGATTAAAAACAGATGATTCAACTACACACTTAAAAGAGATTCACTTTAGATCCAAACATGTAGTTATTCCATTCAAATAGTAACTTAATACTTCACTTTTAAATCCTTCAAATATGCTGCCCAAAATTCTAGAATTTAGACTATGTTGTGCTTAGCACTGATATAGTCCATTCCACTATATGCACATCTAATGCTGCATATTACTCTAAATCATCATCCCATTTTTAGTTACAGAGTGAAATGTATTCTTACCATGGACTTTTTTGTGTTTTTGTAGTATGGGTTCCATCCTATGCTCACCACCATCTTATGGACATCTCCACTTCCAACACTGGCCCATCCATAATAAATGCCAGTGGATATGTCGGCTGGAAGACTGTCTACTACTTGTTCAGGAAAGTTAGCTTAAAAACAGAAGTACATATTCTGAATGTTAAGGGTATCACAGTACTCATAAAAATAGCATGCAAAGCTGGTCTAAATAATTAAGCTCACAAGATTGCTAGGACTTTGCCTATGATTACCAATTCCACCATTTCATATTCTGAGTCGAATTTCTCCTCTTTTTGTTATTAAGTTAGGAACAAGGAACCAGATCACACTCTCCAGGTAGAAGATGACAAATACAGGAACAGCTGGAATTTTTAGACCTGGTCTTTTGGAATCACTCAGCAAGATTCAAATTTTGGAAATACACATAACTAGTCTCCAAACTAGGTCTGGGGGCAACCCTGACTATATTTTAAAAAATGAATCACGCTTACCTTCAAGTCCAGGCTACTAAAACTAATAATGTAGGCAGATCAAAAAAGATATCTGGTTCTCATTCAACTGCCTGTGTGCTAACTTGGACACAATCTAATAACAGATTTAAAAAACAAACCTACAGTTGGCATGAAAGTTCAGCCAATCTGCTCACATTGTTTTGTAATGGGCAAGGCTCATGCCATGCTTGGCAGCTCTACCACACCTGGATAGAGAGGCGGCAAAGTGGGACCGCAAAAAGCTCCAGCTTCCTGCCCTCAAGGCAGCTCCCCAGAAAACTCAAAACTACCGGCCAGGACCTGATCCCTCGACCTCATCAAAGGTCCTCCGCCTCAAATGAGCAGGGAGAGGCAGAGGAGAGGGTGTCGCCACTGTCCTCAGCCCAAAGACCCTGTCCGACCCCCCATCCTAAGCCCCAGATGACGTCTACCGCCCACGTGGCCCGGCCTCAAGGGCTCCGCACCCTCCAGCTCACCTGTGGGGATACCCAGTTGCTTGGAGCCACGGCCAAAACCCCTCACCACTTGGCCGCGGCAGAAATACGGGAGATGCTTCATGACGCCGTCCGCTTGGGGGTCGGGCTGAGGGCCAGGCCGCAGGTCCAGCAAAGCCGTCGTGGAGGTGGTGCCCAGACCCCCCGGACCAGCCGGGGGACACGGGCAGGAGCTCGGCCGGCGGGCCGGGCGGGAGTACAACGGCCCGGGAGGCGCGGGCGCCACGCAGGATCTATCCCCCTCACGCTGCTGACCCAACAGAAGCTGCCTGGCAACTCGGAGGATATGTCTCTGCTTCGAGAGCGACGGTGGCAGGGACAAGCGTGGAAAAGAATGCGATTGCGGGCGCGGATCGCGGTGAGGACGTACTGCAGTGGAATCAGCCCCAGCCCTCGGAAATACTCCGACCTGCGCACACTTCCTCTGCCAATGACCCGGAGCTAGTTCGGCTTCCGTAGCCCCGCCCCCAGCATGGCCGCGCCCTCCGCGGGGTCCCACTCCTACCCGGTCCACCGCTTCTTTGGTTTTTACCGGCCCAGGCGATTTGAACCAAGGCGAGGAACCTGTATTTCAGCCTGGGGATGTCGTAGTGTTTATTCTGCCTTCATCGTTTTCAGAAGGATCCTGATGCCAAATAGATACCTTTCGGTCCTTGGCAACCACTAGATTGTTGGTCATTCACCTCCCGTTCCGCTCTTAAACATTTATTAAAGTTCCAAAATTCCAGCTCAGACATCACTCCTTCATATAGGCTTTTCCTGACTGCCTGCGGGAAGTGATTGTCCATTTGACCACAGTGTGCAGTCAGAGCACAGCAGAAGCCCTAGTCCGTGACCAGCAGAAGGTTGCGATGATGTGATTACCCACCCCCCTACCCTAGGAAAGACGCAGGCCCCTCCCCACCCTCCCTCCCTAGGCGGTGAGCGTTCTTGAGAACTTCGTAAACCGAATGAAAGGCCTGATTTCCACTGCGATGCAAGTTCATGCGCCTTCTGACCCTTGGAAGTGTAAATATTACCTCCGGAAGTAGAGCTCACAAGGTATACAAGGGAGTCAATCACAAGGGCGTCCTCCTGTCTTGGTTTTGAGAAAAGTTTTAGTTGTTCTCTCCTACCTTTCTTTATTGAAGGGGAGCAGAGTTTGCCACCCAAAACATGCCTCTCGGGGATACGGATTATTTAGGTTGGTTAACATAAACAGCAAATGTGGGAGAAGCTCTGAAAACCAAGTATAAGTTCCCCTTTATAAAGGACATTCACATTTGTAAGGGAAATCTCCCTTTGGAATGGTATTTCCATCACTACCAGGGAGAGGAGGACATCTACTGTTAATAATGAAGAACTCTGCATCAAGATCCTCCCTCTTGTTAACTGTGCTTTTTTGGGTAACTTCCCATGACTAACTCCCCAAACCCAACATCTTTTGCCTTTAGCTGAAGATGGCATTTAAGGTGATGGTGTCCACTATTTTGATGAGTTACTTAGTGTTCCTGAGTTGCTCCTCTGTATGCAGAAGACATACATGTTGTTAAATTTTTTTAATCATTTTTAATTTTCAATTACAGTTGACATACATTATTATAACAGTTTCAGGTGTACACCCCAGTGATTATACATTACAAAATAAGTGAGCATCCGCCCACCTGACATGGAACAGCAAGTGGGGTCTGTTGCCCTCCACCACCCTGTAGGCAAATTTCTGAAGGCAAAGATTTGTTGATAAAGGAAAGAAGTCTTCATTCAAAAGCTACACAATTTTGGAATAACAGCTTTCCACATACATTAGTCACTTAAGCCTATCAATTAATGGTAAACTCTATCTAACTCAGGGATGTCAAACTCATATTCACTGGGGTCACATCACACTCAGGGTTGCCTTCAAAGGGCGGAATGTAACCTTAGGACTGTATAAATGTAACTACTCCTTAACAGTTAAGTGAGAGCTCTAGGAGGAGCTGCTGCCAGCCAGGTAGAAACAGTGGAGGGCTGGATTCAGTTCGAGGGCCTTGGGTGTGCCACCGTGATCTAACTCTAGTTACAGCTTTCATCACTTAAGTCTACTAAATAAGGCTGAACTCTTTAACTCTTTCTTCCCCCTATTGTTCCCCTAGTTTTTAATTACCTCATTTCTATAGGTTAGTTTACAAACAAAAACAACATAAGATACAAAACCTACACAATTTTAGAAGAATGGCAGGCTTCTGCCTCAGAGCCTGTCCCCTCTAGGACACCCCCAAAAGAATAACCCTGCCACGCCCTGCTGGGCCAGCCCCAACCAGGGCCGCACCTAGAATTCCTTCTACCATCCAAAATACCAGCAGCAGACAGCTGCAGCAGGATCATCCAGACATCCTCAAGGAAGACAGGGCAAGAGAGCCAGTCTCTGCCTTCCTTTTATTTTAAATCTTCTGGTCCATAGTTTCATGTGCTCAGGAGGCTTCTCAGCCAATCCCATCCTAGACTATTTACCATTGCCCCGGGCAGCTGCCTCCTATGGCCCCTCCCTACTCCTCCCCAGTGATCTGATAAGATCTCTCTGTATCAACACCAGATATAATTATTAGACTATTATTGACTATAACCCTGTGCTGTACTTTACATCCCCTTGACCATTCTATAACAATCAATTTGTACTTCTTAATCCCTTCACCTTTTTTGCCCATTCTGCCTCATGCCCCCTCCCATCTGGCAACCATCAAAACCTCTCTATCTATGATTTTGTTTCTGTTCTGCTTGCTTATTTTGTTTTTTAGGTTCAATTGCTGATACATGTGTATTTATTGCCATTTTATGGCTCATATTAAATTTTAATTTTTCTCTTGCTAATTTGTCTTATGTCAATGTATTCATTAGACCAGCCAGAAGAACCTTAGAGGGTAGAGGAAATTTTTTTCCTTTCCATACTACAGTAGAAGAAAAGGGACCAAGTGCTAAGCCTGACAAACTTGGGGGACACCTTCTTGACAGCCTTGCAAACTTGGAAACCTAAAATAGCCACAAAGGATGTTCAAAAATTACAGGCCCAGGCCAGCTAATAGGAAAGGGAAGTGGGTTCCCCCATCAACAGGAGTGGCAAAGAATTTGTGAATATTTTAAAGCTACCACACTATCTTTTATTTGACCAGTGACAACTCCTCAATTTAAACCAAACTACATATACTTTTTTTTCCTCTTCAAAATATGGCTATAGTCCTGTTGCAGGAAAATGAAGCAACCAGACACCGAGGGTTTCTGGAGTACAAGGTTTATTAAAGTGCACGGGCCCAGAGGAGTCAGTCTCCAAATTCTGAGCCCCAAACAAAGGGAAAGCAACCATTTTATAGAGCGGGGGGATAGAGCGAAGGGGAGGCCTGTCCTTCAGACCAAAGTGTGAGATAATTTACAGAAGCAGAAAGCAGAGCGCTTCACTATCTCTGGCATGTAGGTGATAAGCTAGAAGAAACAAGGTAAATCACTGGGCTCTTAAACATCGGGGCTGTAAAAAAACAGTCCCCTAATTGCTGTGCTATATTTTAAAATAGCTATCAATTTCCCCCAACAGTCCATGCCTTAAAGAAGTTGCATTATTTATATATTGGGCAGAAAAAAAATGGCAGACTCTAAAATTTCGTATCTTAATTGTGAAAAAAGGAGGAAGGAAACACCTATAATTTTAGAAACAAACTGAAATGATTAAGTATGTAATGATGCAAGGGACATGTATAAAGGACCCATGGACAAAGACAATGGGGTAGAAGGAGTAAATGTGGGAGGTGGCCGGGGCAGGGCAGGGGAGAGTAATGGGGGAAAAATGAGCACAATTGTAATTGAACAACAATTTAAAAAACTAAACAAATACTGGGAAATGTAACTGTACCCTGAATTTTTGTGGCACTGATAGCCTGGACTACAGAGTTCGTTGTCTGATGACATTCAGACTTTCTCACGGTCTGTCATTGTTTCGCACGTCGTTGTGCTCTCTCCAACTAGACTATAAATTCCAAAATGTCAGGAACTGAGCTTTGTAGTTTGCATGTATCGCCTTCCAATAAATACCTAGTTGATAAAGCTTTGAAAGAATAAAATAAATATGTAATTATGTTTGGTAATGTTGGTATTTTTGTCATGGTTTTCACATGAATTGAGAGAACACACAAGAGGCCCATAGACACACATTAACTTACTGGTGCTTGACTGGAAAATTCCAGACTGATTGATTAAGATTGCATTGCAACTAGATCAGCTACTGAATCTAAGTTTGGAATCAGGTTTCAGCACCTGTGATGCCTTTCTGGACCGGTGGTTTTCTCTTTAACAACATATAGATGGTCTCTAATACATCCCATTTCGGTTCTTATAACGGTATATAAATTTTTAACATACTAAAATCACAAAATATACATTTTAGTACTGCAATGTATAAGATAAATTCATAAAATATGTTTATAATAAAATGTGGATAGATATTTTAGGAACTCCTTGAAGCTCACAGTTGGAAAATTACTAATCTAGTATCACACTATCATTTTACGGAAAAGGACATAGAGACATAGACCCTGAGACTTTCTAAATCCAAGAGAATATGAAAATCTATGAAATATTAGATGCCACCTAGTCCTGTATTCTCTCTTTGACAGTGAACCTATGATAACCCTTTCTGGTAGAGTTAACTTATCTCCTGATCTTCTATATTAAACTGTCTGAAAAGAATTCATAGTGAAATGTTAGTTTAGTTTAGTGTTTAATAAGGACACCCCACATACAGAAATAAAGAGTTGTCAACAGTACAAGAAAAAAATTTTAAAAGATTTTATTTATGTATTTTTAGAGAGGGGGGAAGAGAGGGAGAAAAGGAGAGAGAGAAACATTGATGTGAGAAACACCTATTATTGCCTCTCACACACACCCGGACCAGGGACTGAACCGGCAGCTCAGGCATGTGCCCTGACAGGGAACTGAACAGGCAACATTTTGCTTTATGGGATGAGGCCCAAACCACTGAGACACACAGGTCAGGGTTAAAAACTGTTTATACTTGTATAAAATGTAAACAAAATTGTGTATGTTCTGTCCAAATAGAACATTAATAATATTTCTGGAAGATCCAAACGTTAGGCCAGGCCTTGAGGCTAAGAGATGATCTGAAAAATAAGGTTTTTTAGGAAAAGTCATTTGTTAATTCACTGTGCTCCTTCAATAGGGTATATATACTCCAAGTCAAGTGGATGATGACTAATGTGTTTTCAATTCAGTAATATTTGAATATCCGCTGTTCTTTATGTTTTTCCGGTGTATTTTTCACTGGACAATTATTGCTTGTATAATTGGGGAAAAATATAAACATACAGTATTAAATTCTTACCACAAAAACAAAACAAAAAATCCTATGTAAGTTTGTTCCTCATATATCCACAAGGTGGCATGTTACACTTCATTTTTACTTCACTGATA